GAAGAGAGGAAAGTCAATCCATGGTTCTTCTATTACTTTTTGCGCCACTTTGGCGCCACTTTGTAGGTATTAATTTTGTCTGCATATTTTGTTTTCTTGTAAAGATAAGACAAACAAGAGATAAGACAAAGTGCCTGTGTAATGAATTTTCATTTCATTTTTGGGACAAAATTCAAGCTCAGAGCTACCTAATACCTCCCTTTTCAGCTGGATTTTCAGTGTCAAATTATTTGTAGAGTATCTCAGACCACATCTCAAGACTCAAGGCAAGTTTCCAAGCAGTTTTGATGTGTTTTGTGGTGTTTTGATTCCGCCTTTTCTCCTAGGGAATGTTGTCATGAACATACCTATTACCAACCATTTGACTATACTAATTGATCGTGCTTTTGCAACATGAATGAGCATTCTTCCTTACATAGACCACAGTAGATTCTTGACAATTCTTATCAACTAAATCTGTGAAATGCTGAGGTCCATGTGTTGCTATACCCTCAGCAATGTAACTTCTATCACAATATGTATTTTGCAGTGGCTAAGAATTGACTGAACTTGGACTGAAATGCCATTTCCCATTATTTTCCATCAGAATTTACCAAATATTTTGATTTTGGGGTAGAGTAATAGCAAATAGAAGTTCGGTCAAATTTCGGTCAAATTTTGGCTTGGGATGTAATCGGTCGGTATTCGGTCGGAAATTTTTCCCAAATTTTGGTTTCGGTCGGTTTCGGTCAGACATTTTTTGGAAAATGACATCACTACGTACGCGCTACTCGCTAGATGCGCTGGACTTCCGACAGGGAATTCCCTGGGACTCCCCAGTGGGAAATCCCCGGTGTCGGTCCGGCCGGAAGAAAGACTCAGTGGTGTTCATATAGCATGCGTCTCACATCCGTGTAAACGGCCGGAGGTCTGGTGACGATATGAGTAAACTGAAAAATTATGTACCTTATACAAATACAGGTGACCTGTAGTTGCTACGGAATCCATTTCGTAGTTCCTACGTTATTCTATTATTTTCCGTACTACGCTACCGAAACATCCCAATTCCGCTACGAAACGGTACTGACAGCTACGGGTTACCGAAAACTTCAAAATAACGTAACGTAGGCCAACTCTGCTCTGGAGACAGTGCTCAGGGGGTGTGCTACCCCTGTAACGTTATTCTTATCGGGTTATCGGCAACTTTGCCCGCCGGATGCACGTGTGCCTACGCCCTGCAGCGCCTTGGCGCTCACCTGGAGCACATTGTGGAGCGTCCGTAAAACACACACTGAACTAAAAGTATTCGTAGTGAAGACTTGAAACTTGGTGGATGTCTGCTACATAGGTGTGACCTAAAGTGTCCGAAGTTTGGTGATGATCTGAATAAAACTTCCGAAGTTATTCGAATTTTGGTGATGGCCGCTTTTTTTGTGTCACCCTGTACTAGCGCAAACAGCGATCGTTAAACTGTTGTTAAGTACCTAGTCGATGGTCTTGTGGGTATGGTATCGACTGCATGGTGTTTCAGTGTATTATATTGATGTTAGATTTCCACAAAACTGACCGGGACCCGCTCCTTTACCTTGCAGGGGCCAGTCAAAATCTGCAGTCAGGACATGCCACAGCTGGTAGCTGAAGTCGCTGCCTACCCGCTGTCTTCTTGATGATGGACCTGCGGAACTCATTGACACCGGGAGCCATGGGAATGTCTGCATGTTCAATGTCGTGTTGGAATATCCAAGTCATTCGTCTATCTAACATAGACACATACGACGTAAATACTTATGTGAGATGTTAGAGAAATATGTGTATGGTCATTGTGTAGATAACACTTGTTGTAGAGTCGTAATATAGTTCATTATATTTGATGTAGTTTGCTGAAAATTTTACTGACGTGGGTTGAATAAAATATTAGAATGGAACACGTTAGTTACGCTTCAATTACTTTGCTATAGCCGTGCACATCGTGAAGGAAGTTGTAAAAAAATGGTTGATTTACAACTGGCACATTGCTGGACGCTCTAACCAATCACTCGTCACACAGACTGATCGACTGATTGACTGAAAGGCTGTTTGACCATCAGTCGACAGACTGTCAGCTCTCTCGGCGGGATGATGAACGACAGTGCTTATCATTGCTTTACTCATCAGAAGTAGGTATCAACCTCAGTTACGGGCGACCACCAGCCACTGGCCGTTGGGCGAGCGCAGCGCCGCCTACCGGCGGTATTCAAATCGAATAGCGAGCCGAAGCATGCACGGAAGACTTCTGATTAAAAACGAGGCCAACTGTCTGTACTTGCAAGAAGTGCAATATCCTATTTTTAAAGTCCATGCACTGGTGAACACTTTGGATACAGTTTTAATCTTCTCTGAAGAATATTAGATGTGGCAAAATGCAGATGAAATATTGCTCACGTTTGCCCAGACAGCAAACAATCTTAGGTACCTACTTATCAGCTAATTAAGAGAAATTCCGTCACTGTTTCAAAAGTGCAATATGCTACATATAATATTCAGGTATGCTTTAAGTAATGTATAAGTATATGAATGTTCTTATTTACGAATTTGGCAGATACCTATAAGATATAACGAATAACGATATTCCAATAACATATGTGTACGATTAATCATTACACTATTTTGTGAGGCACGGTGAGCGCAAGGAATAACCCGCGCCCCGCCGCGCTGGGCTATTCAGCCATACGCGCCCTGCTGGGGGGGGGGGGGGGGAGATTCTACCCTCCCCTGTCTAACTTCCGAACCGATGGTCGTAGAAAGACGGGGAAAACGGCAATCGAAAGCTCTCAACGAGGCAAATCTTTAGAGCTAATTTTTTTTGCTTAAGTAGGTCAGAACTCAGGTCAAGGTCAGGTCAAGGGTACAAAATGCAAGTTTCTACAGTATCGGCCTTGCACCGTAATTGCCGAAGAATGGACTGAGACTGATTGCCCAAAACGTGTTCTTAGGCTACCAAGACAATATTCGTTGCATACAATATCATTCAAAGGTCAAGGTCAAGGTCAGGTCAGGTCAGATCAGGTCACCAAAAACAAAACATAGAAAAGGGCATGTGCGACACATGTTTTATGGGTCATTTTATTTATAGAATTCAATAGGCACACTCAATTAGTGATATGGACCGCCTCTGGATGAAATTCAGGTCGAGATCAGGTCAAGGTCAGGTCAAGTGAGGTCAAATCTTGAAGTTGGTTGTTAACCCGCGAGTTGCTGGGGGGGGGGCGTTAAACGCCCCCACTTTTTTCGCCGGGCCATAGCATAAAAATGGCGCGCCACAGGCGCGCCAAATTTCGGTTACATGTAGGGAATTGATTGAAGTTTATTTTAACAAAGTTTCAAAAAAATCGGTCGGAAAATTTTTGAGATATCGAGGTTTTAGTGACGTCATGATTTCTGAGTTTTCGACCAAAAACGGCATATATTCCAAAAATCATATAAAATCACAGAATAGACATACAGACATGCCGTAAACGCCATTAGACTGCCAATACCATTAACAATCAAATGGCTATCTTCGATTATTGATTATCGCTCTGCATTTTCCAGAATCTTGAACTGAATCTTGGCAATTTCTCATGACTACTTCACGACCATGATACATGCATTTCTTAAATTGAACTTTTTGAGCCAAACAGGTACACATATGATAAAATGAATTCCACCATCGTGTTCTACGTCCCAAATTACCCATAAAACATGTGTCACAGGCTGCGAATATCAGTTTTGATTTTCGGGGATATGTGCGGCGTGCCTACCCGGTTGACCTGACCTTGACCCTGACCTATGCTTGACTGACCCCTACATGGAGCTGACACTCCTGTAGGCCTTATATGATGGATTGTGCACCGTTTTGACAGCGTTACTGACGAGAGGCGCCCATTGCGAAGTCCTGAAGTCCATGCTAATGAAAGCCCGATTTTAGGTGTTTGACCTGACCTTGACCCGACCTGTGACCTCAAAATTCAACTTTAAAGTACTCATCTGAAGCGTCTCGTCGCGTTCTTTCGTTTGCCGCCTCGTGCGTTTCGCTGCGCCTATTGGTTCTCGAGTTATCGGCTGGGGGCGTTTAACGCCCCCCCCCCCGCAAACGGTGGGTGGCGAAATACCACAGCAACTGCCGGGTTAAGGCCTAAAAAGGTGTTTAACTGATGTAGTTTTTCACGGTAAGTCGAATGGTGCTATTTTTGTTTCCGTACGAGGTCTAGAACTTCCCACAAATTCATTTTTCAAAAATTTTGTGTGTCGTGACGTCATAAAATTGTGAATAACTCCCACATTTTTGAACCGATTCTTCTCAAAATTGGTATGTAGGTGCACATACACCACGTCTCTGACATATATTCCGGTTTTTCGATACACTCAATTTTTTGATTTTATAATTATTTTCCCAAAAAAGTCGTTTTTTTAAGAAAAAAGTTGGGCCAAAATCCAAAATTGTCAAAAGACCGAGATAGCCATTTGATAGACCAAGTAGAATAACGTTTAACCTTTTTGTTACGTCTTGATTCCTTTAAAAATGAAGAGGTTAGCGGCGTTTGACATTTTGCGATTTTTTGAGGCGAAAATGGCGAATATGACGTCACTAAAACGTCATCTTCTCAAAAGTTTTCCGACGGATATCGCTCAAATTTTCAGGAAACATGTCAAATTGATGTATGATAATGTTCTGAAAGTTTGACGTCGCTGGCGTAACGCGTTTAGAAGTTATTGGCGAAAAAACGGGAGGGGGCAGATTCTGCCCCCCCCCCCCCCCAGCAGGCCGCGGGATTAGACCCGCCAAACAAAGAGAAACACCACTTAAAGGTTAGTCGTTTCCGGAGTACAGCCAGCCTCATTATCGGGTGCAGCAACAGACAGCGCCATCTACGTGACCCCGTCGAGATCACGATCGGTCACATGACCACCGCGCGCCAACCAATCGCTGAGCCGCACACCCTCGGGCCTCGGCTTTTTCTATCGCTGAATTAATTATGTGACTCACCCGGTACTAACTACCAAGTTTATTCATCTGAAGCACAGTCACAGTATCCATGATTAATCGCATTCGGCATTGCAACAAAGATTTTCGAACAGCTTCAATTTACTGTCTAGCCATAAATTCATGGACATATATGACACTGCATTTGCTAAATGCATGACATATTCCTCCAAGACGTAACATCTTCAAAAATTCACTCACCTCTAACCTAAAACAAAGTCCTACCGCTAAGCTTACATTCCCATCGTATAAATGCACTTATATTTTTCAAACACGATCACGAATCGACAATTAGCACACCCAGCACAAATCAAAGAAGAGCGACGGCAACGATCAGCCGCCGCACCTGTACGACATAACCGCAGCCACCCGGTGCACGCTGTTGCTGAAGGAGCGCAGCTTCACCGGCTCCCAGTTGGAGATAAAGCCCGGCCGACTGTCGTCCCATTTGTCCGTCATCTCGGCGTCTTGTAATGCGCCAATCAGCAGGTTCATCGACACTGCCGGATCAGAGGGTAGCATGTGATGCACTGGCGGATCCAGGGGAGGGGGGGGGGTCTGGGGTAAAAGTGCCCTCATCCCTGCAGCGCCCGAAATCGACGAATGTTTCCATTTTTCAGAGAGAGAAAAAAGAAAACTAATCGAATTTCATTAGGAAAGGTTAGTTTTCACTGCTCAGTCCTCAGGACCTCTAAGGACAGGGGGTCAAGTAGGTATACATGCCTTGTGCATACATCATACTATGTTCTGGCGCTTTGTCGGTTACAACGAAACTATGAATGAGTTCAGAGATAGGGCGAATTGAAAGGGTCTTCTTAGGGCCGAAAGCTGAGCGCCTATTTTCGTTTTGTTTCAATGACGGACCCTCTCTAAAGTTGAAATTTGGCCACTTTAGTTTTCTCCTCACTACTCGGGGTAGCCACCATAACAATGATTTAACTATGCAATACAATAATTTAATAAATATATATCGCACGTGCTTAACTTGGAAATCGTTTGGATTCCTATTTATCAAGATAATTTAGCCCGTGCATCTACGGGGGGGGGGGTAAATATCCGTCCCCCTTGAAGTTGTTCGGAAATGACGGGAAAACCGCGCCGGGTAGCGCCGGAAAATTTCACGTAACAATTTCCACATCAATTTTACACTTAGTGTGCCAGTTTGAACTTTCTACAATTCAACGTCAGGTCACCAGGTCACTTTTAACCCGCGCATGACTGTGTGTGGGGGGAGGGGGGGGGCTCTAAAGTGTAAAGAGCCCCCTCCCGTTTTTCGGCAATATCTTCTAAATCGTTTGACGGATCAACACGAAGCTTGCGGTACCTTCAGCGGCATCAATTTGACACCTAGTGTTAAAAGTTCTACTTTCTAGCTACCATAGTTTGCCCGAAAATGACGTCAGAGTGACGTCATGTCGGCCGATTTTGATGCAAAGTATTGAATTACAGCAAACGCTCTCAAAAGCTCAGTTTTAAAAGCTAGATCCAATTTATTTGCATAAGTGGACTACAAATACACGTAGCTATCAAACTGCCATCTCGAATTGTCGAAATTTTGAAAATTTTGAAGATGTGTTATTTCAATTGCAAAAAAATATTGTTTTCATTTTTTCACAAAGTTTTGATTTTTCGCAAAAAAACGGAATAAATGTGGTAGAACACATACTGATGAACTACTCTAGCAAGTTTTAGCCAAACATCTTCAAAAATATCCAAGTTATTTGCATTATTTTCAAAATTTTACAATTATATATGTTTAACCACTTTTCAGTACGTTTTGACATCGTACAGCAATATAAATGGCACCGTCGTGCTCCTGAGCTCAAACTGCATCTGATAGGCACCTTTTTGGTTAAAAAATGTCATTTTCAAAATTTGACCTTTTCTGACCTGAAAGTGACCGGACCTCCGGTAAATTTAGCTGAAAATGACCTCAGATGACACAGACGACATTGTCTTCGAAATCTACGAGTAAAATCGACCATAAAACATGCGTCACGTGACCGATACATGATATACAATTTTCGTGACTTAGGATGACCTGAAAAATTTGACCTGAAAAATTCGAAGTAAAAGTTTGGTACCCTCAGGGTATCTGACTCCAGCTGCCCCCCCCCCCCCTACACATTAGAAGCTGGCAAACGCCGCACACATGCGAGGGTTAAGCTTAGCCCATGCCTTCTGGAGCTGTCTGGTGAGGCAAACGATCTTGGTGGCTCCTAGCAGCCCTTTGACGTTCTCTTGAAGAGTCACCCAGAGAGTTTTGATGGGTCTGAGCTATTCACATGTCAGCAGTAGCGGCGGAACACCTCCAATTAAGAGGGGGCACTGCAGACTTTGGGTCCCATTCTTTCCATGCAACGTCCATAGGGCTGATATTGAAATGCATTTTAACCCGCGCCCTGGTGGGGTCTGTTTATAACGCGACCTGGTGGGGGGCTATTTTCCCCCCCTCGTATCTCCGAAACTACTGGACGGATCCGCAAAATTCAAACGGCGTTCGAAAGGCCTGTCAAATTTGTCGAAAGAAACCAAATTTCATTGACCTCGGGGTCACCGATGACGTCACAGGTCAGGTCAAAGATGAAATGTTTCACCGTTCACGGGTCTTCTAGGGAATGCGCTATAACACCGAGGAAAACGCATTTTGTCGAGAATCAGCGATAGGGCGTCAGTTGCCTAGTAGATATGTTGCTATTAGAGGTCACTGACAATACCAGGTCAGGTCACAGGTCAGGTCACCAAGGGTCACAGGTCAGGTCACATGAGCCCAACTTTACTAAGGTTGTGTGATGCATGTTTTATGGCCATTTTTTTCATTTCCAACTCAATGGTGTTGGTTATAAGACTATCAGGTACGGCTTAGGCCACTTTCTGGTGAAGTTCAGGTCAAGGTCAGGTCAAGGTCAGGCCAAAAAAGGTCAAATTTTAAAATTGATAGTTTTGCACAAAATGGGTATTGATTCGATGCAGCTCGTCACGGGGAGTCTAATGGTGGTCTTTGTTTTGCGCTACGGGGTCTAGAATTGCCAAAAATTGAGTTTAAATATTTGACGTCATCAATTTTGAACAGTTTTTTTCGCTATAACTTCGCCAAAAAAAGAGGTATCAATCTCAAATTTGGTATGTGGATGGAAGGTGGTAAGGACTATCACATATATTCCGGTTTTTTCGAAATTCAAAAATCTTTTTGGATTTTTCGATTATTACATACAAAAAAATTATTTTTTGATTTTTGGGGGTCAAAATCCAAGAGTTTCAAAAATCCGAGATTGCAGTTTTGTAGCCCTGTTGATTCTACAGCTTTTATGTCTTTATCATTTTTCTGTATTTGCAAAGCTGTAGGCCTCACAGCTCTTCCCGCGAAACCTTTTTTTGGGTCGAAAACGGCAGAACATGACATCACTCTGACGTCATTTCCGGCCAACCTATCATAGCCTTTGGAAAAATTTTTGGCCACAATGTGTAAAATTGATGTCCGGCAGGGTACTGAAAGTTTGGTGACGATCGGCGCAGCGGTTCTGGAGATATATCGAAAAGTCTGGAGGGGGGGGGGGCAAAAAATAGCCCCCCACCAGGTCGCGGGTCAACCCGCGCCCTGGTCGGGGGGGCTATTTTTTGCCCCCCCCCCCTCCAGACTTTTCAATATATCTCCAGAACCGCTGCGCCGATCGTCACCAAACTTTCAGTACCCTGCCGGACATCAATTTTACACATGGTGACTAAAATTTTTCCAAAGGCTATGATAGGTTAGCCGGAAATGACGTCAGAGTGACGTCATGTTCTGCCGTTTTCGACCCAAAAAAGGGTTTCGCGGGAAGAGCTGTCAGGACTATAGCTTTGCAAATACAGAAAAACGATTGAGACGTAAAAGCTGTAATTGACAGGGCTACAAAACTGTTATCTCGGATTTTTGAAATTTTTGGATTTTGACCTCCAAAAATCAAAAAATAGATTTTTTGAATATAATAGCCAGAAAATCCAAACAGTTTTTTGAATTTCGCAAAAACCGGAACATATGTGATAGTTCTTACCGCCTTCTATCTACATATCAAATTTCAGATTGATACTTTTTTTTTGGCGAAGTTATAGCGAAAAAACTGTTCAAAATTGATGACGTCAAATATTTAAACTCAATTTTTGGCAATTCTAGACCCCGTAGCGCAAAACAAATACCACCATTAGACTCCCCGTGACGAGCTGCATCGAATCAATACCCATTTTATTCAAAACTATCAATTTTAGAATTTGACCTTTTTTGACCTGACCTTGACCTGACCTTCACCAGAAAGTGACCTAAGCCGTACCTGATAGTCTTATAACCAACACCATTGAGTTGGAAATGAAAAAATTGGCCATAAAACATGCATCGCACAACCTTAGTACCTAAAGTTAGGTTCATGTGACCTGACCTGTGACCCTTGGTGACCTGACCTGTGACCTGACCTGGTATTGTCAGTGACCTCGTATAACAGCATATGTACTATGCAACTGACGCCCTATCGCTGATTCTCGACACAATGCGTTTTCTTCGGTGTTATCGCGCATTCCCTAGAAGACCTGTGAACGGTGAAACATTTCATCTTTGACCTGACCTGTGACGTCATCGGTGACCCCGAGGTCAATGAAATTTGTTTTTCCCCGACAAATTTGGCAGGGCTATCGAACAGGGCTTTCCCCCCCCCCCCTCGTATCTCCGAAACTACTTGACGGATCCGCAAAATTCAAACGGCGTTCGAAAGGCCGTCAAATTTGTCCAGGGAAACCAAATTTCATTGACCTCGGGGTCACCGATGACGTCACAGGTCAGGTCAAAGATGAAATGTTTCACCGTTCACGGGTCTTCTACGGAATGCGCTATAACACCAAGGAAAACGCATTTTGTCGAGAATCAGCGATAGGGCGTCAGTTGCCTAGTAGATATGTTGCTATTAGAGGTCACTGACAATACCAGGTCAGGTCACAGGTCAGGTCACCAAGGGTCACAACAGGTCAGGCCACATGAACCCAACTTTACTAAGGTTGTGTGATGCATGTTTTATGGCCAATTTTTCATTTCCAACTCAATGGTGTTGGTTATAAGACTATCAGGTACGGCTTATGTCACTTTCTGGTGAAGTTCAGGTCAAGGTCAGGTCAAGGTCAGGCCAAAAAGGTCAAATTTTAAAGTTGATAGTTTGGCATAAAATGGTTATTGATTCGATGCAGCTCGTCACGGGGAGTCTAATGGTGGTATTTGTTTTGCGCTACGGGGTCTAGAACTACTAAAAATTGAGTTTGAAAATTTGACGTCATCAATTTTGAACAGTGTTTTCGCTCTAACTTCGCCAAAAAAGAGGTATCAATCTCAAATTTGGTATGTGGATGGAAGGCGGTAAGGACTATCACATATATTCCGGTTTTTGCGAAATTCAAAAAACTTTTTGGATTTTTCGACTTTTATATCAAAAAAAATCTATTTTTTGATTTTTTGGGATCAAAGTCCAAAAAATTTAAAAAT